AAAAAAGCTGCATAACTAAAAAGGTAATTCCCTGGTTTACAGGTTAATATTAGGAGAACCGGAAAATAGTGTCGTTTCTACATATATCCAATTTTTTATATTTTTATCAAAAATCAATTGATTTTTATCAATTTAGTATTCAAAATTTTGCATAATAAATAAAAAAAGATTGTTGATAACGAGTAGTGATGATTACATTATTGATTAAAAGTAAAAACTTGTCAGAAAAAAAATTTTAGAATTTAAGGTTAGAAGAATTTAGGTTTTTTTTTTTCTAATAAAAGATTTTTTTTTTTTTAAATTCTATAAATATTTTTCTAAACAAAATTAAGGTTAGGAAAAGAAAAAACCTAAATTCTTCTAACCATAAATTCTATAAATTTTTGTCTAAACACAATTAAGGTTAGGAAAAAAGACCTTAATTTTTCTAACCTTAAATACAACAATTTTCGTTCTGACAAGTTTATAATAAATTTTGTTTAGAACAAAATTTATAGAATTTAAGGTTAGAAAGCGGCATTACTTTCTGATCCAACTAATATATTAACATTATCTTTATTATCTTTTACGGATATAAATGTAAAACCTAATGAAAAATGGAATTATTATTATTATTATTGATTATGATATATATATATATATATATGTTATGATGATTGATTGTGATTATATATATGACATGATTATGATTATATATATATATATATATATATATATTATTATTATTATTATTATTACATTGAATTATTATTAATTAACATTATCTTTTACGGATATAAATGTAAAACCTAATGAAAAAATTGAATCAAAAAGTAATGAAGATTCTTCGTTACGTGATTGTTTTTTTTTTGTTTTTTTTTTTTTTGATCTCATCAAAAGATATAACAAGTTGAATCAAGATTGATAACCTGAGGGAAAGAAGTAATAATGAAAACGTAACGCAACTCGATGACCGGATCCGTTTTTCGTTTCGTAACTCTCTCATCCGCACTTTCCCCATACGGTCGAATGCGATCTATCGACTCTCCCCTTTCATCGTCATATTATTCTGACAATGACCGTGTGTGTTCTTATCTTTTTTCTCACTTTCTCTTTCTCACTGTGTTACTTCCTTCTTCTTCTTCTTCTTCTTTTTTTTATTCTTCTTTTATTTTTTTTTTTTGTTTCTTCTTCTACAGAAATATCTTTCTTGTCAGGTTTCATGAGACATTTGGTTGTAGCACTTTGAAAACGACAACGAAAGGATGACGGAAATAATGCGTTGGCGAAAAAAAAAAAAAAGAAACATTTTCTTTCTCTTTTACAGTACACAGATTCTTTCTTTACTTTTTTTTTCTTGTTTTTTTTTTTTTTTTGCTTGAAAGGCATGTTAAAACATGGCGATTGCTACTTACTAATACGCAAGCGAGAAAGTAGGAGACTCAAACACACTTTCTGTACATTTCTTCTCGAACGACAATCATTTACATAAATTACTTTTTTTTTTCTCTACCTACGTGTCTCGAAAAATAATATTAGGTCTACTGGAAAATATTTGTTAATTGTAATAATATTGAATTTAGTTTTAATCAAATTATTAGCATATTTTTATTTATTTAATTTAATCATACAATTTATGAGATCAATTGGTTGGAAAAAATGTAATCTCGCAAAAAAAAAGAGTCTTCCACACCACTCTCGCTTTATTTTCGGGCGAATGCTCTGTCCATCTGAGCTACCTAAGAACAACTTTTGGACCAAATTATTCAACTATTTTATCGCAGTCTGCATTGCTATATTGATACTGTTACTAACAAACTTCCTGGAAATATCTCTGAAATTTACACACAACTTGCATTGATTCTTTTTTACAAGTGTGTCAGAATTTTTCAAAGATGATGGTTACAAAGAGGAAGTAGGAAGAACTTCTTATCAATAAAGCATAGGCAGACTGAAGATAAAACCATTGCATAATTCGGGCTTCGGTTGTCTAGACTGGGACTCGAACCCAGGACCTTCCGCTTGCCGAACGAGCGCTCTACCATCTGAGCTATGAAGACATATTTACATTTAACTCATAATATTGTATATAATACGTTGTATCCGATTATCCAATAAATTCGTACGGTTTGAACTGTATTTTCGTACTTTTAATTAGAAAGAATAGAACATACTTATGAACCAATCTAATAGAATATGCATTACTTATTTTATTACGTATAATTAAATGGTAATTCATATTTTTTTTTTTAAGTAACCTGCATTACCGATTAATATTGATATTAATGTGAATCTAATAGATAATTTGTTTCCTTAATTTTAATTGCCGTTTGAAGCGCTATTTTATAGTTAAATTATCTATCCATAAAAAGAATATGAAATTATTATATCGTATAAATCGTAGTAGGTCCAATGTGTTCTTCAATTTTGCTGTTGTAATTTGTCTAATATTTTTATATAGTGATTTTAATGCAGTATTTTCGAACTTTCTTGGTCTACCACGATGTGGTAATAAATCCAGAATTTTCAAATTTTCATTCTCATTCATTGATGTCTTATAGAAAATTTGATACGGTTTATTCCTCACAAAACAAAATTTTTCAACAAAATTAACAAATATTCTATTGTTAGATTTTCTCCAATTTTTTGGTATTTCATTTTTCATTTAGTAGTGGAGAGAAAAATAATCTTTCACATTTCCTATTTAAATCATACAATAATTAGTAAACAGTATTAAAGTACGATGAGTATGACTAGGAATAAATAATTGTAATACAGTCTATTGAATAGAACTATTTAAAAAAAAAGTCTTACAAATGTAATTGTATTTGGGTTGCTTGTTGTCTTTCTGAAACTTCAAACTATTACAAATACTCATATTAACGATTTTTCCAATTCAATTTCTTTTAAATACGTTATAAAGATTTTTATTTACAGTGCTATTACTGAATATCAAATTTCCAATTCTATTTAATAAAACGCTACCAGAATTCGTTTTTGGTACTTTCAAATTTTGCAATACCTTATATTTATTTAACATAATTTTTCTTATTAGAGAAATTTAATAAATATGTAAAATAAATAATATATGTCTAAAAAGATTGATAAATGACTTATTGTTGAAAACAACATTTCAAGGGATTGCTTTATAAATAATCGAATTATGAAGAAATGTGGTTAGTTTGAATATTTTTCAGAGTGTCATTAGATATATTAAATATTTATTCTTTAAAATGCATGCTACATAAAATTCTTCTAACCAATTAGTATGCGTTGTTTTCATTGAAAACTGTGTACCCAAAATATTTTGTCGAATCAACACGATGATGTGTATAATCGTCAAACGAAAAATATTCATTTAACTGTAATAATATTGAATTAAGTTTTAATCGAATGACTATTTAATTTTTTCACAAAAATTATTCTTTTTATTTATTAGCATATATTTATTTATTTAATTCAAGCATACAATTTATGAAATCATTTGGTTAGAAAAACGTAATCTCGCCAAAAAAAAAGAGTCTTCCACACCACTCGCTTTATTTTCGGGCGAATTGCTCTGTCCATCTGAGCTACCTAAGAACAACTTTTGGACCAAATTATTCAACTATTTTATCGGAATGTAAAGTGGCATATCTATTAATAGTGTCACTAACAAACTTCCTGGAAATCTCTGAAATACGCACACTCGCATTTAAGTTCTTTTGCAAGTGTGTCAGAATTTTTTCAAAGATGATGGTATATAGAAGAGGAAGTAGGAAGAACTTCTTATTAATACAGCATACCATGTACATTCGGATAAAACTATTGCATAATTCGGGCTTCGGTTGTCTAGACTGGGACTCGAACCCAGGACCTTCCGCTTGCCGAGCGAGTGCTCTACCATCTGAGCTATGAAGACATATTTACATTTAATTCATAATATTGTATATAATACGTTGTATCCGATTATCCAATAAATTCGTACGGTTTGAACTGTATTTTTGTACTTTTAATTAGAAAAGAATGGAACATACTTATGAACCAATCTAATAGAATATGCATTACTTATATTATTACGTATAATTAAATGATAATCCATATTGTTTTTTGGAAAGTAACCTACTTCACCGATTAATATTGATATTAATGTGAATCTATACTTATAGATTATTTAATCTATTACTTATAGATTAGACTTATTTATTAGATTATATATTTTATTTTTTTATTATTATTATATATATATATAAATATTATATAATGAAATATAATTAAAAATATATATTATATATTATATATATTAAGATATATAATAAAATATATAAAATAAATAAATATGATTATAAATTAGATCTAACGAAAAATTCTGTCCAATTAAAAAATAAAATAAAATAATAAATTATTCCTAATTTGAACAATTAATTAATTTAATTACTTGTGAACTGTTACCAACATGAATGCAATTTGTATATTCCATTTTAAGAAATGGGGCCTTACCCCTAGTGACGAAACATTGAACTAATCCCTGAGGATTAATAAAAAAGATTCAATGTCTTTTTTAATATTAAAATACTTTTAATATTAAATACACATGTATTCAATATTTTGTACTACTAGAGATGTTTGTTAGAACGGACAAAATTTGTCAGTAGACCAAATATTATAAAATAATATTAATACTCAAATTTATTAATTAGTTTAATAATGACTGAATTATAATAAAAACGATATAATTAAAGTGATTTATTATGAAAAATAAAAAACAATACTAAACCCTTATTTAATTTAAAACAACCAAATGTTAATAAATATATGAAAAATTTGTTTAGTTTTATCGTTAGTTTCTTTCCCATTGGTAGTATTATTAAATGAATTCAGTTTTTTATTCTCAACAACGACGTGCTCTAGTTATCGACTATCTTTTCTTATTTTGTTTTCCCATTAATTCGCTCTAGGAAGAGAGATTCGTTTATTTTGCTTCTACGTAAATACACGCTAGACAGAATTTAATAATAACTATTTTTCGGTTTTTATTGCAGATGCGGAAGTTACAGGACAGCGAGAAAAACGGACCGATTCGGTCGACATCTCGCGGAGAGAAGAAATTCCTTGTGGAGGATCATCATACCGTAAGTCGTGTGTTATTTGATTGCTCGATAATTACATTACACTACGACATAATCATAATTATAATTGCATGCTTTTATGTAACTAGACGATTTCTAACATTTATACGTGTTTCCTCTTTGATCTTTTTTTTTTTCTTGTTCTTTTTCTTTATTTTTTTCTTTTTAACCAGTTGAATTGAGTTCGACAAGTATACTCGTCATGAAGAAATAAGCAAGATTTTGTGTCATGACGAGTAAATTCGACATACGTATAAAGTAATGACCATAAAGTAATGACCTATTTAAATATGAAAAACGAAAGGAATATTCTTACATTTCAAAATGTTTAGAATATTTTGAGATAAAATAAACAAATTAAAAATATGAAGAATTTGAATTGAACTCATGCGTCATCGCATGTACTGACTGAAAAACACTGTATTACTTCGCATAACGAATTTGTTTATATTTCTCAATCCGAGAATTTTGACGGTCACACTTTCAAAATAGATTTCAATAAACATTAGTGTTGGTATCGGATGGTGAAACCTTTTATAAGCCATTATATTTGAAAATTGATCAATTTATTAATTTAAGTTCGTCAAAACACATTAAAATATTACATCAAAAAGATAGGTTTATTTGATAAAATAGCCAATTTTTTATTATTAATATTTCTTTATTTATGTACAAAATATTAATTTTTAAAAATTCGATTTGCTTTTAAAAAGAATATAAGAAAAAGAAACTTGTAAGATTAACAAATTAAAATTTATAAAATTATAATGCAGCGTCATCTATCGTATATTTACATAAACAAAGGACTAAGATAAATAATAGAAATAATATATCCCTAAATTGACAATAAAAATATTATAAATCACTAAATAACCTGCTCTATCTTTTAAGTTAGAGAAAATCAAATAAAATAAATCAATTTTTATTTAGATCGGTTAAGTAGTTTCGATGTTTATCGCGGACAAACAATTATAATTAAAAAAAACATAATATAATGTAATATAGTTTATATCTTTTGTCAATAAAACAAAATAAAAATACACAAAAATTTCGGAGAATTTCAATTAGAAATAAATTAGTGTAATATTGCAAACTTTTTCTTTTATTATTTTACATTAGTGTAACATAATTAACTACATTCAATCCAAAAGTAGATATGTGCCCATAATTATGAAAATGGGTCTATAAGTCATGTATCTCTTGTTTCGAGATATTTAAAGATTTATATTTGAACACTATATGAATTCTATATAATATTGAAATAACAAACATTATCTGACGATTTATTTTTGACAATATCGTGAAAATTACATTGAATTTATTTAATTTAAAATAATGTGGTACGTAATAATTGATAAACTCATTTTTTTTTTAATTTTTACTTAGACAACTTTCATAATTATGGCCACGTATTTCTTGATTTTATAACCTATTTTTATAATACATAATTTATATAGTTAATATAACAATTGTTAATAAAAACAAAATAATGATACACACTAATTTCTAAAAATTAAAAGTAATAAATAAATTAGCGTTGTATTTCAAACAATTTCTTTTATTATTTTACATAAATATAACATAATTATTTGGGTTCTATTCAAAAATCGATATTTTTGATTTTATAACCTACAAAATGAGAAAAAACACTACTACTTCCGCACACATTACTTTTATTTGCAATTTTTACAATTTTTTACAAAAATAATAATGCATTTGTTTAACTAAAATTCGATCATTTTTAAAAGCAAATAAAAAAAGAAGCATGTAACCTTAAAAAGTTAAGATTTATAAAATTATAATGCAGCGCCATCTACTGTATACTAAAAGAACCAAGAGACTAAGGTTATCGCAAATGCTTGAAAAATCGCGAAAAGATTTGTATGAGACACCCCAGTGAGACACTTATTCTATGTTTGACGAATATACTCGTGATTGATCGATTTCTGCGACACACAGCGGTGGGCACTTTGAAAACGGAGTACCACAGTAATCTAATTAATTTATAATAAATTTATTCATACGATTGTACATATCGGTGATAATTTGTAACATTTGCAACTAATGAATTATATTATAAATTGGAAAGAAATGTTGGTCGTATGAATTTCTCATCTAACCAATTGTTAACGTTTTTGTATGAACAAATTACAGTTGGGTACGTACATTCGCGAAGTTGGTTGCGACAGAGCCATAGAAGAAATCGAGGTCGAGCGCCTCCGTGAGCTTGCACTCGAACAACAAGAAGTCATCGAGATACTTAGACAGACGGTCAAGGTAATGAAATTTCATAAACTTATGAATACTATCGTTAGTTAGCTAGCTCTCTCTTCCTCTCTCTCTCTCCCTCTCTCGTTTATATAATCATCATTGTGTGTCTATTCTCTTGTACGTAACAATAACGGTGTCTGTCCTTCGTGCATGGGAAAGGAAAAAGAACGAAAGCTCGAGCAGCTGTCGAACAAGAAAAGGAAAGAGGAATTCTATAGGCAATGGTTGGAGCTCGAGCCAGTGGCCGAGGTCGACGATGAAGAGGATCACGAGGAAGGTGACAGTGCCCTTTCTAGTGCACCATCATCCCTTTCTCCTCAGCCAGGTGGTTGTGGACAATGGCAGGGGTCAGGTGTCACCCGAGAAGCCTACGAAGCTGTTCTCATAGAAATCGAGGAACTCCAATCAAAATTATTAGATGAACGTCAAGAATTGTCTCGTGCTAAGACCGAAGTTCTCGATCTTGAAAAAGCTCTTTTGCAAGAGGTGAAGATTTTTTGTTTCTTTTTAATCAGTAAATTCCTTTTTTTTTATATATATATCAATAAGAATGATCGTTTGTTTTTTCTTTTTTTTATTTATTATTTTGTAATCAATAGACAAGATGTAGCAATCGTAATAAACAATTGGAAGAACTGAACGAGAAGTTGCGAGCAACAGAAGAACGTGAAGCTAATCTCCTTGTGGAATTGTCCGAGTTGAGAGAACAAAACGAACTTTTAGAATTCAGACTTCTCGAACTGGAAGAATCAACCACTCGTAAAGAGAATCCTGATCACGCGGCTGATAGCGGCATTGTCTCGCCGGAACTATTACATCCGAGCAAGGTAAAAATAAAACAGAAAGTCTCCCTTTTTGTTCCTGAGATAGAAACAAAAGAAAAATTTGTAAAGTTTTAGTAAAATTACAAAAAAAAAAAAGAAAATTTAACTTCGTAGACATGCTGCTATTATAACCTTTTAAGCACTACGCGCCATTATAGTGGCTTTCACGAATGCCATCTTTTTTCCAATACGACGCGCAACTATAGTGGCTTTCGCGAATGCCATATTCCTATACGACGCGTTAATATAGTGGCTTTCACGGATGCCATCTTTTTTCCAATACGACGCGCAACTATAGTGGCTTTCGCGAATGCCATATTCCAATACGACGCGTCACTATTGTGGCTTTCGCAGATATCATCTTCCAGTACGACACGTCACTATAATGGCTTTCGCGAATATCATCTTCCAATACGACGCGTCAATATAGTGGCTTTCACGGATGCCATCTTTTTTCCAATACGACGCGCAACTATAGTGGCTTTCGTGAATGCCATATTCCAATACGACGCGTCACTATAATGGCTTTCACGGTTGCCATCTTTCTTCCAATATGACACGCAACTATAGTGGCTTTCGCGAATGCTATATTCCAGTACGACGCGTCACTATAGTGGCTTTCACGGATGCCATCTTTCTTCCAATATGACACGCAACTATAGTGGCTTTCGCGAATGCTATATTTCAGTACGACGCGTCACTATAGTGGCTTTCACGGATGCCATTTTACAGTACGACGCGTCACTATAGTGTCTTTCGCAGATGCCATTTTTTTTCAATACGACGAGCCACTATAGTGACTTCAGCGGATGCCATCTTTCAATACGATGTGCAATTATAGTGACTTTCATGAATGCCATTTTACAGTACCACGCTCTGCTATAGTAACTTTCGCGAATATCATCTTTCTTCCAATACGATTTGCCACTATAGTGGCTTTCGCGAATGCCTTTCCAATACGACGCGCCATTATAGTGACTTTCACGAATGCCATCTTTTTTCCCATATGTTGCTCTTTTATAGTGACTCGCGAATATCATCTTTCTTCCAATACGACTTGCCACTATAATGGCTTTCGCAGATAACATCTTTTAACACGTTGAGCGCCGCGTCCGTCATAGGTGACTGACACGTTTAACTATTTTTCAAAACAAAATAACGCCCGTGGCCTGACGGGAATTTCCCTAAGAATTCGCGTGGCTCTCAACGTGTTAAAATATATTATTCCTAATTTTATTATTAATTAATAAAATAAATTGTCTAAGTTAAAGTATATGTGTATCATTTCTAAAAAATTATAGTTAAATTATTAAATACTTGATTTCAATGTACTCGCGTACAGAACAGCCATTTTAACATTCAGCAGTGCCTAAGAGGTTAAAGTATTAATATAACGATTAATATTTATAATCTTTTATAATATTTACACGTTGTACACGTACACACACATACACACACACAACACACAATATATACGATTGATTGCAGGATCAAGTAATAAGCAAGCAAAGAAATCGTGCAGTGGCTACAGTGATTCCATATACAAACAATAATAATTACACTACTACTACAACGACGACACGTACGATTTCTCCTGTACCACGAAAAGCACCATTGTCTCTTCAAGAAAGTGGTATATTCGAAGAGGAGGATGAAGAGGGCTTAGAAGTCGAACTAGCGAGTAAAGGAACCCAAACGGAGATACCTTCCGGTGAACTTCTTCAAGAGGTTCAACGTCTTCAAGAACTTCGTGCACGGATTCAAGAACGTGCAGCTAAAGTAACAAACACAGCTACGACAATATGTTCGATCGATACATCTAAAGCCTGTCCGGCACTTGACACGGACGTTGATTCGATCGTTCAATTGTCCTCCTATCAAGATCGTATAAGAGATTTGGAAGATAGATTAGAGGCTTACGAAGAGGCTGAAGAAAGGCAAACGGAGGAGAGACGAGTGACGAAGCAAAGGGAAGAAGAATTGCTTGATGAAAATTACAGGTTAACCGAGAGGGTTTATTGGCTTGAGAATAAATTACATAACGTTGAGGAACTCATTGAGAATAGAAGCAGAAGTAGAAGTAACGATAGAAGGATTATTCGTGATGACAATGAATACGACAAAATGGAAAATGATAAACAATGCGACTGTCAAGTTTTTCAAAATTACCAAGAAGTTCAACGAAAGACAAAAGGTGAAAACGTAACGTTCGAAATAATGGAGGACATATTGAATCGTTCGAAAGAAGTTCAAACGACTGTTATCGAATCAATTGAAGATTGTTGTTCATGTTGCCGAATGTGTGAGATTAACAAAAGAACGGAACAACCTCAGGAATGGATCGCACCGGAAACACGTCGTGTTATGGTATGACATATTAACTTTTCAGATCATTATACTTCCTTATAAAGTAAAGATGGGTCTGCAGTTGAATGGGACAATGCAACTGGTTGACATACGTGGACGATATTGCTATGTTAGGGGACAATAAAGTGTCATTAATTAATAACGCGAAAATATTAGGTGGACCGGAAAGTAATGTTGCTTTTCTAACCTTAAAATCAAAGGAATAAATTTTTAACAAATTTTTATTTTTAATCAATAACGTAATCAATAAAACCTTTCTCATTTAGTAATGCAAATCTTTAATACCAGATCAATAAAAATTGGTGGTACACGTGGCCATAATATACATTGTCGTATTTAATTGAAACTGTTTCATGCAAAACAATCCTTTCGAATTTTCAGGTGGAAGTTGTTCAAAATTGTACGGAGGAAATGGTCGAGGAAGTAGCGCGGGAGGCCAAAGAAGATGAAAATGACGTTGACGAGGTTGACGAGGTTGATGCATCTGAGAAAAATGAGAACGATGAGCACGTAGAAAGAAGAAAAAGAAGAAGAAGAAGAAGAAGCATCACGGAAGTTGCCGCGGGGAATTTGGAGGAGAACAACGACGAGCCGATAAATTCGGTCGTTCATTTAAACGACGAATTGGAATCCAAAAAGAAGGTTAGAGAAAGGCAGAATAAAACTAAAAGGAGAGAGAGACAAGATGATTATTCATCAACGAGAACGTCTAAGGGAAATGTTAGGTTAACCTCCGAGTGGGTTAAACGCCCTGACGAATATTACGAGCGAAGGCATCATCGATTGATTTTGTATCAGGAGATTTGTGTTTAGAAATAATCAAATTAGTTATTATAGCGTTGATTTTTCGATAATTAGCAACAAAATCGTGGAATAATACGCGAGTGGAAGGATTTTTTATTTTTCTTCTTCTTCTTATTCTTCTTCTTCTTCTTCTTCTTCTTCTTTTCCTTACTCCTTTTTTGTTTCTTTATAAAAAATAATTAGAATGTAATCTCACCGAACTCTTCCTTTTCTCTGTGGTTTGATTGTTTTTCAAAGGAAAAAAAAAAAAAAAAACAGTCCACGCATAAACGGGACAAAAATATGTCATATATATTCACGATAGAACAAAATCGATCGATTTAAAGGGGGACAAAATATCTACCTTATGGTTATAAACGATAATGATCGACGATCGTCGAAAGAAGACAAAAAAAAAATAAAAAATAAAAAAAAAAGAAGGGGAAAAAACCATGAGACAAAAGAGTCGAGGAAAAATGAATCTTCTGCCATAAAACGAAATTGTGTCGAGCTTCTAGACAAAAATGATATCCAGGATTTGAGGAATGATATTCGATATTCGACTCGAAGAGAAGCATGGGAAGACGAGAGACAAACACATACACACAGTTTAGAAGAGTTCTCCTTGAATCAAATTAAATGCAGCAACTGAGGACTCTCGAAACTGGCCAAAGGTCAGTTTTCGTCAATCCGTTTCTTTTCGTAATTTTTTCTTCTTCTTCGTAATTGTTGCGTTAGAGTACCGTAGTGTGCAAAATAACGCTGACATAAGAGACATTCCTTCTAGATTTTTCCTAGTTATTTATATATATATATATATATACACACTTATTATGCATACGCTATTACACTTTCTTCCACTTCGCTCGACTGGTTCTGTCGCTTCGTTTTACTTTCCCATCTCAATTTTAATCGTTGATTAATATAATAGGACGTATATTAAATATTATAAGCGCTCGTCGATTACTGGGGTATACATCTATAATATAGTCTAGCATATAACTGTCACTATTTATTTGTTTCTCAATACTTTTCTAATAGCAATAATAGCATATTGAACGACGATCTTCCTCGTAGGTCGTTCAGTGGTTTTATGGTGGTGGTAAAAAAATACGTCGCTTCTTTTCTCTTCTATCATCTTTCGTGTTATCTCTTTACAACAAGGCTAATCTCTCTAATTATGCTTCTTTTCTATTATTAGTATTATTATTATTATTACTATTATTACATTTCTTTTTACAGATCTTCGTGTTAATTGTATAATAAAACAAAACATTTAATTTGTAACAAAAGTCATATGATTTGTTGTAAACTTTGTTATTCGTATTCTATACGAAGAATTGTATTTGCATTCAAAGTATATCTAATAATTATACAGGATTGTAATTTTGTTCCTTAGAGGGCACCACTAGTATGACCGTTTGAAAGAAGGTGATTTTCGGAATTTTTTTTTATAGAAAACTACTGCATGGAATGTTTGCATTTTTTAAGGAGATATTCGTGCATATTTAATGAACACATGACTAAATTTGTGGATCAAAATATTGAAAATTAAGCGAGTTATTCGCAATCTTCCAAGTCCCCTCACTGCTGCAGTTATGGCGACCTCCACAGTGCATGAAATCAAAAAAACTTTTGCCTTTTAAACAGATAGGAAATAATTTTGCATTGTTTAACGAAAAAAAGCTCTTTGCCATCGATCAATTTGAGAGTTTACAGGAATACAACAATCCAAAAAGTACAAAAAATATTTTCTTTTCCTGCAAAAGGAACAAAGTTACAATCTAACCTAATTATTAGATAAATTCAATAAAAAGTAAAAAATGTGATCCTATTAACTGTATACGTATTCTAGATTATAATAACTTTTGCTAAATATATATCTATATGTTATCGTGTAATAATATTCAACATGTTGCTCGTTTTATAATCAACTTTTGCAATCGATACGCGAGTCTCAACTTACACAAAGTTGAAAACATTCGTACGGCATATTTTCACTTGTCACGAAGAATATATTATCATCCAAAGTAAAAAAAAAAAAAAAGTATTAAGGATAAGGTACTACTTACTACTACTACTACTTTACCATATATCTTTTGTGACAGGTGATCTACTTTCGCTGGAGGTGAAAATCCTTTCGTTTCTTGTCGGTGTAGAAGAGACTATTCGTATGCGCGTTTATACTCAACAACATTACAAGTACCACGATATGATCGATAAACTTCACCGTTGATCTCTCAATGCATTAGCAAGGTAAACAATTTTTTTATTATACGATGTTAATAAAAAAAAAAAAAAAACAATTCGTTGAAATAGTAAATTCAATTATATAGGATGATTCACCAGTTCATGACTCACCTAAATAGCTTCGAAAGTATGATAGTAGTAGAAAAGTGATTCAGGAAATAGTTGCATGAAAAATTCAGAACTATTAGATCATTAAGTATGAAATGTCTGATTACCTAAAGCCTCAAGTTTGATACCAGATGTCTCCAATATTTCACTTCGATCGTCCTTTATTTTTTTTTTTTTGCATTAAGAAGGTATGCCATCTTGCTTACAAATGCACTCTTTTGTTTTTAATAGTCTATCGTATTGTCGTCTGCAGGTTAAATGTTGTAAGCCATGGATAAGACAAAAATGCGAGTTATTTTCGAATATGAGTTTCGTCATGGAACTAATGCAGCGCAGGTAAGCCGAAATGTTAACGAAGTGTTTGGCAAAGATGTGGCTAACGAACGTACAGTATGTTGATGATTCGAAAAATTCCGATCTGGAGATTTTGATCTTCAAAACGAACCACGCGGGTAGCCTAAGAGCAAGATGGATGACAACCAACTGAAAGCTGTAGTGAAAGCATATCCATCTAAAACGACGCGTGGACTAGCAGCAAGGTTTGAAATTACCATCTCAACAATATTAAGTCATCTGAGAGCAATCGGAAAAGTAAAGAAGCTGGATAGGTGGGTTCCGCATGAGTTGAGCGAGCTTCAGCAACGGAACCGCTTCGAGGTTTGCTGTTCTTTGGTATCAACACTAAAAGGCGATCCATTTTTGCACCAGATAGTCACGTGCGATGAAAAGTGGATACTTTTTGATAATCGCAAGCGTCGGCACAATGGTTGGACAAAAATGAAACACCAAAACACACCCCAAAGCCGAGTATACACCAAAAAAAAAAACTAATGGTGTCTGTTTGGTGGTCCAGCGCGGGTGTTATACACTATAGTTTTATGAGACCTGGGCAATCGATAACGGCGGACCTCTACTGTGAACAGTTAGAAGAAATGATGAGGAAGCTGCAAATTAAGTAGTCGATATTGGTCAACAGGGACAGACCAATCCTCCTGCAGGACAACGCTCGACCACACGTTGCAAGATCGACGTTACTTAAACTACAGGAACTGGACCTGGAAACACTTTGTCACCCACCGTACTCACCAGATCTCACGCCAATCGATTACCATTTTTTCCGAGCTTTGGACAATATTTTGCAAGGAAAAATATTTCATTCCCAACATGCGGTTGAAAATGACTCTGCTGGTCTCCAGATTTTTTCGCTAGCGGTATTAATAAGCTATCGTTAAAATGGCAACGTTGTATTGATAGTTTAGGTGTATATTTTGATTAATTATATTATTTATTGCTCGAGATATAATAAACCGAACTTTCGGTCTCAAATCAGACATTTCATACTTAATGACCTAATACAATATGACATTAGTATTGTCCAGAAAGTTCGTATCGATTTTAATGAAAGAATAAAACGCAACTCATTTAAATTTTTCTTTTGGTATACATTTATTAAATTATATATAAGTGCCGTTCTGTTCCGCAATCTTTCTCAAACCACCTATCCAAAATTCTCGTCCTTCAAGAACTTCTCAGATTTTTCAGTAAAAAAACGTTATGTCATCTACCGAAAATCGGCACGAACTTTCCGGACAACCAAGATTTGTTAGGTTAAGTCATTTTAGAGAATTATTGATCAACTTTGTTATTGTGGTAAGAACTGGTGAATCAGCCTGTACAATAAACGATCAATTGTAGAAAAATAATAATGAAAATGTTTTATTGTTGCAGGACAAAATAGCTGGCGTTGCTTGACACCGGCTAAGCATCGACCAGAATTTGTTTCTGAGGGAAAAGAACAATGGAGTCATCTCGTCATCTCGTTGTGTACCATCGAAAGTAAATAGAAAAGAAAAAACAAAATATCATGCGCGCTTATATAAGTCTCTTTAACTAACAAAACCGACAAACAATCTACACATTGTTATAGTAAACCAACTGCCAACAAGAAGAAAATCAAAGGACCCTTCTGTCAGTGCCAAAATGAATATAATCTGATTATTATAAACAAAATCAAATATTAGGTTGAATGAACTTTGATCTGCATTTGATCGAAAGATAAATATTTTTTGATATACAACAAGCAGAGGTCGCCAAAGTGATGGTCCACGGATCACTAGTGATTAAGTCATGTTATGTTTTAACACTAGATTTACAGGCATTGCCTGTATACCTTTTTTTTTACTGAAATCCATCTTTTTGAAGGGTATGTTAACACTAATCTAAATTTGTTCGTGTCGCGCCGGTGGAACTGACTTACATAATTTCGCTTATCGCCGGTGGTTTAATTTCATTTTAATTAATTAATTATTATTTAATTAATAAACGCCGAAGTGCGGCCATTAAAGTGTTAACTTTCGTTCTACAGTTTTGAATATCACAATAAAACCATCGGCTCTTGCGCGATAATTTTTGCATGGCACCAACGTAGAGCTACCGACACTTACGCGATAATTTTTGCATGGCACCAACGTTAAGCCAGTGGCACTTACCCAATAGTTTTTCACATGGCACAAACGTGGAGCCACCAGCACTTACGCGATAATTTCCAAATGGCACCAATGTGGAGCCACCGGCATTTACCCAATAATTTTTGCATGGCACCAGTGTGGAGTCACCGGCACTTACTCGATAGTTTCCGCATGGCACCAACGTGGAGCTACCGGTACTTACGCGATAGTTTCCGCATGGCACCAACGTGGAGCCACCGGCACTTACCCAATAGTTTTCACATGGCACCAACGTGGAACCACCAGCACTTACGCGATAATTTCCGAATGGCAACAACGTGGAGCCACCGGCACACCCGATAATTTTTGCATGGCAACAACGTGGAGCCACCGACACTTACGCGATAGTTTTCGCATGACACCAAGGTGGAGCCACTGTTACTTACCCAATAGTTTTTCACATGGCACAAACGTGGAGCCATCGGACGTCATAGTGTTAATAGTTTCATTTTATTAACTAAATACATTTTATCTGTTCTTAGATCACAATTTTGTTTATAAATATATTTAATTAACACTTAAAAAATCCTATTAGTGGTCAGCAAGATTTAAATGATGAATTTACTGGTCCGTGTGATCAAAAAGTTTGGCGACCACTGCAATAAATATCACTTAAAAAGAAAGAAAGAAGTAAAATCGATCCTTGCCATTCTTAATCCTCGCCTTTTAACATAAACAATTTCCGCGAATTATATTTACCGAAATAGTAATCCTCAATGTAAAACGATTTTATAAAATACGAATCGAAACGAATTTGAAAATCTTAACGATAATCTTCGTATACATTTACATAATATAAACCCCTAGTAACATAAAATAATAAAAAAATATTGAATACATGTGTATTTAATATTTTGTGCTACTAGGGTCATTACAACATGCAATACGAAGAATAAAAATGTATATAAATATATATATATTAATTTTTGTATCCAATCGAATGCGACAAAAAATGGTACACGTAAAATAAGTATACGTAATAAATACGTACGTGTATTATTTAAACGAAGAAAAAGAAAGAAGGAGAGAAACCATTAATTTATGTTATTTTTTGTGTCTCTGTAAAAAACAAAGAAAACCAGAGAGAAAACCAGAGAGAGAGAGAGAGAGAGAGAGAGAAAAACATAAATTAAAAAAAAAAAAAAAAGCTTGAATTATAATATACGTATACGAATTATATATATATATATATATATACATTATACATATATATATATTATTTGAATACTTTGTAGGATTTACAAAACGTGTCTCTAGTCCACTTTTCATTCGAGCGTAGCGGCCACGTTCTTTTTAACATATCGTTAAACACAGTGGTTTTAGATTGTTCAGTTTTATCATATAGTTTTATAATTATTATGTATACCTCTCTATGCACATTACTATATTGCATTATTCACGTAACTTTATCATGAGTCTTCTATTTTTATTTTGATTTTCTTCTTCTTCTTCTTTATCTTTTATTCCCTTTTTTATTTTTATTTTTCTTTATTTTTGTTTAAGTGCTACGCGGTCGACATGGAACTGTTTGTTTCGTTTTAATCCTTTTTGATCATGTAACCGTATACGAAATAAAGTTGATATTGTTTGCGCGAATTTATCGTTATTTTTTACTTCTTTTTTTATTATTATTATTATTATTATAATTATTAATATTATTATTATAAGATAAGAGTGTATATTCTGTCGTTGACAGTATCGTTCAAGTTTCAAATTAATCGTTCACATTGAATATATGAGAATAATGCACAATTGTATAATAGTTTAGTGAAAACTTGTTCAAAAACTTCATTCATGTGGATATTTACCAACTCATTTTTTTTATTTCCTTTTGTATTTTTTTTTTTTTAATAATAAGTTAAATATATTATAATTTATGCCATTTACGATTTACGAGATGATCTGTAATTAGAAAATATATCATATATCTTTGTATAAATGTTTTCAAATGATATACAGGTAACCTTCCTATAGGACACTACATGTATATGTAATATACATGTCAATGGATATATATCAAGGATATATGTACCCATAATTATGAAAGTGGTGTAACAATGAGACCTTACACTGGAGCATCAATGGATTTTCATGAGCTTTGGTATATCAGTAGTATACCTTTAACCTTTTTGCATTGGTTGGGACATATGCTGTTCTAGTCTGGAAAATTTTTGATTTTACGGCTGAGACAATGACTTAGTTACTGAAAAATATCTAGGACAGACAATAACGCCAAGTTTGGCTTCCAAACTGATTCTAAGACCGTCTCAATCGTTCCTGATCTAGTCAAGCAAGCGACAACTGTCAAGGTTGTTGCTCAGTTGATAATTCTCATTTCTTATGTTAGAAATAGTGTGCACTTCTTGCAACGTAGCACTCTGCAAGAATTGTTTCTAGCTCTATCACATTCTCAAGAAACCCAGACTTTAGATACTGTTGCTCCTGCACTACTTTCGATTTGTTTAATTTTTTACAGTTCTAATTACGAGCAGGACATTGTCTTGGGGTTCAGATACTTTGGATTTACGGCGGGACATATGCTGTCCCATTAGGCTTGTAAAATGATTGTTATTAATGGTGCACTGTTATGGGGACGTTTATGCGTCTCCAAGACCTTCAACTTTTTAGGCATAAAAATTATTTTATCTAAAAAATTGCTTGGAGGGAAAATAACTGATCCCGTGATCCCGGTAATGGGGTGCACTCGGACTGATTTTTCGTCGCATTACAAGGGTTGAAGGTATATTACTGATATACGAAAGCTCATTAAAATCCCTTGATGCTTCTGTTTAAGTCAAAATATAAAAAAAATAAAGGTGAAATAACTGATAACCTTATTTTAAGCTATTGGGTCTACAAGTAAGTTTCCAGCGTTTTTTAATAGATGGTGTCACGAGTAGATTACGGGTAGAAATGTCACATCTCATGTGTCATTTTTGAAGCTTGTGTATCTGTTAACAACATTGCATCATCATATTTGTGCATTTCTATCGGCGTCGTATATTTTATGAAGCAAAAACATGGCAAGTTATGTGCTAAATAAGCGTCATTTGTTTTCTATTCTTTAATATGAAGAATAGTGCAGCTGAGGCCTATCGTTTGCTTCTGGAAACTTACGGGACGGAATGTATTAGTGAATCGACATGTCGTGAATGGTTTAAACGGTTCAAAAATAGTAATTTTGACGTTGAAGACAAAGAGCGTTCCAGAAAGCCGAAAAATTTTAAAGACGAGGAATTGGAGGCTTTGCTGGATGAGGATCCGTGTCAAATTCAAGAAGAGCTTGCTGCATCATTGGGCGTCACACAACAAGCCATTTCCCTGCGCCTGAAAGCTTTGGGATTCATCCAAAAAGTTGGAAATTGAGTGCCGTACGAGTTGAAGTCGAGAGATGTCGAACGGCGATTTTGCATGTAAGCAATATTGCTGCAGCGGTATAAAAAAAAAGTCGTCTCTGCATCGTATTGTCACTGGTGACGAAAAGTAGATCTATTATGATAATCCTAAACGCAAAAAACCATATGCAAAGCCTGGCGAGCCAGCCAAATCGAAATATTCACATGAATAAGGTCATGCTCTGCATATGGTGGTATCAGAAGGGTGTCATATACTACGAACTGCTTCCGAGTGGTCAAACCATCAAAGGACCGTTGTATCGAACCCAACTAATTCGTTTGAAGCGGGCATTGGCGAAAAAACGGCCAGAATATCAGACCAGGCACGAGTCCACAATTTTTCACCACGACGCTCGGCCACATGTTGCTGCTTCGGTCAAAAACTACTTGGATAATAGTGGATGGGAAATTCTGTCTCACCCGCCTTATAGTCCAGATTTGGTGCCATCCGACTACCACTTATTTCGATTGATGCAGAACGCTCTTACCAGAATGCGTTTCACTTTAGTAGAGGGAATCAAAAATTGGCTCAATGCGTTCTTGAGCTCAAAAGACGAGAACTTTTTTTGATCCAGAATCCACAAATTGCCAGAAAGATGGGAAAAAATTGTATCTTCCGATGGACAATATTTCGAATGAAAAATATGTAACCATTTTTTCAGAATAAACCCTCAAATTTTATGGAAAAAACACTGGAAACTTATTTGTAGACCCAATAAATAAATTCAATGTAATTTTCACAATATTTTCAAAAAATGAATTGTTAGATAATGTTTGTTATTTCAATATTATATAAAATTAATTTAATGTTCAAATGTAATTGTTTAAATATCTCAAAACAAGAGATATATGACTTAGACCACTTTCATAATTATAAATGCACAAATATGTACCTTCCAGAAGAAACTTTTGGAGATTGATCAGAGGATCTGTTATTACTGACAACAGCAGCACTCATCAACAACGACGGTAATGCACATTCCATAAAATGAACCCTCTCAACTAAAGCCGCATGACGTCTCTCCAAAGATGCATTCCTCTTCTCATAACCTCTCATCATACGTTTCCAATAACTCACGTTGTTTGTTCTATTTTCATCTGATTTCGTTTCTGTTTCCAAAATTTTCACATCGTTCTCCATTTAAATAAAAAAAAAAAAAAAAAAACACCGGACGTAAAATATAATTTAATTTAATAATTTTTTTTTTCTAATTTGAGTCAGGACCCCAACAAAAAAAAACTTCATTGAATTCTTAAAACTTCATTATTATTATAATTTTTGTCTTTTTTATGTTTACAATTTTAGTAACGTTAATAGAAAATAAACTAACTTTGTCCAATTTAACTCATCAATAAAAAAAAAAGAGAGAGAGAGAGAGAAGAAAAAAAAAGAAACAACTTCATATCGTTCATAGTAAAATAAATTCATGGTAAATTAGATGGATAATTATGACAGGAAATTCCGAAAAATGGATCGACGTCTTTTGACGTCTTCATTGGTTAATAGTTATTAACAAAATTATAACAAACGTGAAAAAAAATCTTATTACATTCAAAAAAATTTGCCTTACCCCTTGCTAGTAATATCAATTTTACCGAACATAATATAAAACAAAAACAAAAAAAAAGAAAAAGAAAAAGAAATAAATAAAGAAAAATTAAACGATGAATCAAGAAACTATTTTGAAGCTTTTGATTCCTCTCAACAACAAAAACGTTGACAAAGAATTCATCAAAAGGACTCTACTAGAATTAAATAATAATAATAATAACAAATACCATGATAATGATAATTATAATGATCGTTCTAAAAAACGTGAAGTTGAAATCAATCCTAAACATGGTATGAAAAATAAATTGTCTAACCAAGTTATTAATTGTTAACACGTTCCGTGCCAAGCCCCTTTTTACCAGACTTGTCATTCAGGCCATTTAATTTTGCTTTAACAAAATCAATCATTACATGTAATTATTAATTATTGCAAATAACTTATGTGCTTTGTACTATACTGCATTTAGTATAATGCATCAATATTTTAATAGAAATATTCTTTAAACAGAATTAAATTTGTTATAAACATATATTTTCAGCGTATTAAGTAAATATGTCTAATGGTAAGTGTACCACCGGTGGTACACGTGGCACGGAACGTGTTAAAAACTATTCAGCTTCTATCATCGAATCATTAGATCTTCTCTTTGTTTATCTCAATTTAATAGCCACTGATAACCATAAAACACCATATACTAATCCAACTCATCCACGTGTTTGTCCTGCATATTCTTTTTGCGTTGAACGTAACACTGTTGCTAAAATGGTAGCCACGGATCAAGATAATCCTATGTTAAGTAACGAAGTAAGTTTAATTAAATTTAAAATTGTAATTATTTATTTTATTAGGTCGTCCCAAAAGTTTCTTCTTTTTATTTTCTAGTAATTCTACGGGAACAATATTTTTTAGGTTAATTAATTAAAAGTATAGAAAAATGTAAAATAGAGTTGAATCAATCAACTCTATTTAGTAAAATAACGTAAAATACAAAAAAAAGTATATTACACATGCAATATTGTTTAACTTATCAAAAAAAAAAGGAAGAAATTTTCGGGACAACCTAATACTTAAAATACAATACAGGTACAGTGAGTGTAGAAAGTATTCGTACATTTATCAATTCGAAATAAAATGTTGTGAATTGTAGTTTATTAGTCAATTATTTAAAAACGATGAATTTATATATGAACAGTTTATTTTGAAAGTGACCCAACTCCATTTTCCAAAAATATCGAGTTAGTTACATTTTTACATGATCTTTTCATTCTGAAGCAATTTGTTACATGATGACGATAAAAAAGTTTACTTAGAAGGTGGTCTAACTCCAAGACCTGACTTGACTTACTTGACTGACTATACTTGACGGACTGACTTGACTGACTGATTTAGCTGACTGACTTAACTGACTGACTTAGCTGACTTACCTTACTTGTTTTGACTGACTGACTTGACTGACTTGACTGACTGACTTAACTGATTTGACTTACTTGTCTTGACTGACTGACTTGACTGACTTGACTTACTTGTCTTGACTAACTTGACTGACTTTAGTGACTTGACTGGACTTACTTGTCTTGACTGACTAACTTAACTGACTTGACTTAACTCACTGACTTGACTGACTTTAGTGACTTGACTTGACTTACTTGTCTTGACTGACTTGACTGACTTTAGTGACTTGACTTGACTTACTTGTCTTGACTGACTTGACTGACTTTAGTGACTTGACTTGACTTGACTCACTGACTTGACTGACTCGACTTACTTGTCTTGACTGACTGACTTGACTGACTGACTATACTTGATGGACTGACTTGACTGACTGACTTGAATGACTTGACTGACTTTACTTGACTGACTTTACCTGACTGATTTTACTTGACTGACTGACTTGACTGACTTTACTTGACTGACTGACTTGACTTGACTGACTGAGTTTAAGTCAATCAACTGATTCAGTTTAATAGGAACTATGAATTAAACACCCTTATATACACTTAAACAGTATGACTCGTTAGTATCATATACGTATATTTTTAATTACATTAAAATCCAAACTCTTCCATACCTCGATTCGAACATAATTGGAGTTAGGCCACTTTCAAAATAAACAGCTCATGTATAAATTCATCCTTTATAAAAAATGAATTAACAAACTACAATTTGATAACATTTCATTTTAAATTGATCAGTGGACGAATACTTTCTGCATTTACTGTAAATTATAAAAGAAGACAATTTTGTTATCATAGTTACCAACAACGTTACGTGACCTATTAAAACCGATTAAACAAACGGCCTTGAGAATGAAACAACTTAGCCAATTAAATAATGAGGTACCCCATAACGAAAACGTCTACTGTCAATTACCTCAAAATAACGATGTAAGAAATAGAAATAAATATTGTGGTATTAAAAAAAAGATCTTTAGATCCATGACATCCAGGCTTTCTAAGGTGCAAAAAAAAAACGTTTTTGATTAAATCAAATTAAATTATCCAGATTAACAAATTCTAAGAATTTGATCGAAACCTTCAGCGTTCTTCCTCATTCCTAATTTTATTTGCAGAACGTTCATTGATCGACCTGGAAAGCCCGGACTTCATCGAGGTCTAGTTATTGTGAACTTTCAAAAAAAAAAAAAACATTTGGATATTCCAAAAGAAATTGAATCTGAGTAAGAGGATTTTAAAACAATACTTTTTTGGCAGTTTCATGAGCCTGAAAATGTACTACCAATTTGTCAATTGTGTGCTATGAAATTCAACGAATTACAGTTGAATTTGAATGACACTGTAATACCAAGAGAAGATAATGTGTTTGAGAAAGATAATAATGTAGATGGTCAAGTTTTTCTTCGAATATTATCAAAACCAAATACTGAAACTCAAGAAATTATTGTTGATCCTTTTCTGAGTGTTATTCAACAGATGGTAAGATAATATAATTTTAAAGATAAAATTCAAACATTTATCCTATTCTTATAAATTTACAGATATCCAACATGTCAGAAGTTCCACAAGAAGTACCATTATGCAAAAATACAAAACAAGGTTAAAGTTTGAATATAAGTGTTATTGTTTCTTACATAAAATCTTCTTTTATCTTCATACTTTGTTCTTTCCTATTTGAGTATAGTATGCCAGTTATGTTCTGGTTGTTTGAAGCGTAAACCAATAACAACCATCATTGATGAATCTAGTAAATTAAAAGAAGACAATGGCGTACAATTTAAAAAAAGTTTCAGACCAGAACCTGACTCCTCAATCTTTGACGATGATTCACTGAGCGTTCAATCTTACGAACTTGTTAAAACAATGGACGTTGCATGTGAATGTAAAGCAGAAACAATGAACGACGAATTATGTTTCTCTTCAATTAATAGTAATTTTATTGAAACCATTGGTTAATTTGAAAAAGAATTTCTTTCCTTATTTATCATTATTTCATTTTATTTTCTTTTTTTTCATCAGATCGTCATGAAGAATCTAATTGCGATGATCATGATAAATCTCTAGATCCATTAGTATTAAATATTTTAAGAATGTTAACAAATGATCATACACCTAATCAATTAGAACATTTAGATCCAATTTATTTCAACAAACCTAAATCTCAAAAATTAAGGAACAATACGAGTGAAGTATCGTCAAATAGAGATAAATCCATTGATTGTACTCGCAAGTTGAATGATGATTCTAAACTCAAGTCTGCTAATAAAATTGAAGTAACAGACGAATTGTTAAACGTTGCAACGTCTACTTATTCGATTTCTATATTGGGACAAATTAATTCTGTGTTACAAACGAAATCAGTCAAAGGTCAGACAATATCTTCTTCAACTCAATACGATGTCAGGCCTGAGTATATTCAGAAAATACCATCGAATACAATGGAAAGTCAAGTAAAGCCTATATTTGATTCACGAAAGGTACCGAAGATAGAAGAGGATCGTAATGATCACATGGAAATAATTGAAAAGGTTTTAAAATAATATATATATATATATAGGGTATTTCACATGAAATCGAATACTTTTGACCTTCGACCCCTTTTTCGATTGTGCTGCAACATTTTTTTTTTTCATTTTCAACTTCATTAAACAAATTTTTTAAGAATTTTTTCAGATTTTTTTGGCCAACCCAAAGAAAGGAATGATTTTTTTTTCCAAAATTGAGATTTTTCGTTCCATTGTTTTTTCAAATAACCATAACTTTGTCAAAAATAGACTTACAGGGAAGTTTCTTTTTTTTTTTTTTTTAATTTTTTGTTTCTAAATGTAATTTTTGAAAAAAAAAAAATATAAAAACAATATTTGAAGTTAAATTCTATACAAAATTTTGTTTCTTTTTTTGTTCAAATTTGTCAAATTTTAATATTTTTGTATTTGTTTTTTTTTTTTATTTTAAAAATTTTTCCTTTTATTATTAAGGCATTTAATTTTGTCTTTATACTAAAATAAACCTAATTAAATAAATATAAATATTTTTAAATGTGTCTTAATGATCTTAATTTAATTATATGCTAAGGAAAATTATAAATGCAAAAAGATTGCAGTGAATGACTGGTCAATTTTTCAAGTAAATATAATTAACAATTTATTCAGATTTTCATGGTAGCTTAAATAATTTACAAACAGTTAGAACAATGAAGTTTAAAAATAATACAAATGTTTCAACAAAATCGAAAAAGGGTCGACGATCAAAAGTGTAATCACTTTTGAGTTTAAAAGTTTAACACTTTGAACACTTTAATGGCCGCATGTCAATCGAACGTCACCAGAGTCCAATAATCTTTCTGAAAAATTAATTGAAAAAAACTTTATTAAATTTACGAAAAAAATTAACATTAAACAAAACAACAACAACAAATTTAATTTTATATAATTTTAAATATATACAAAGTTATAAATAAATAACGGTTGTTCCGGCTATCATCACACACATGTTGTGTGGGCGGCCATTAAAGTGCTAATATGTTGATAAATAATGAGAATACTTTTTGATGCTTTAACATTAATTAAACACAATTCACAGCCTTGCCCGTGCAGATGTGGATATTTTTTAGAAGGTGATTCTAATTGTTCTTGCGGATGTGCAAAATATTCCAATTCGCCATGCATAGTTCCAAATAATTCAAATCAAATAAAATATGTGACAGAGAGTACGAATAATTCTTCAAATAATTTCAAAACGTACGTTCTATGTAAATTAATTGTTCTGTATTTAAACCGTTTCTTTTGAAAGTGTCCTAACTCATTTTATGTTCAAATCGAGATATTGAAGGGTTTGCGTTTGAAGTTAAGTCATTTTCAAAATAAACAGCACATTTTCTTCTTATCGTAATACAAATTTTTATCCATTTTTTTTTTTTTTTTAACACAGATCAGATCAAAGGTCCATTAAATCAAAGAAAAGTACACGAGAAGAAATCAATAGTCAATTGTGTAATTGCAACGTACCCTCCACAAATATAGAAAATATTCCTTTGGATCCAATAGTTAAACGAATGAACGACATTATTGAGATTCAAAATTCGATATTTGATTCAGAAGAAAAAAATCAAATAAACTTGAAACATTTAAACGATAACAAACAACTTGATTCGGAAGAAGAAGAAGCACGAAAATTGCAAGAAAAAATTGAACTTTATAGAATGGAGAATGAATATTTTCGAAAATTAATACAACAAGCTTGTAATGGTTGTCAAGAAAACGCAGAAATATTGTCCCGTTCTCCGCCAATCAGAGCAACGAATTCTGGTTAAAAATATGATGATTATTTTGGAAAATATTTCTCGAATGTTTCATTTTTCGTTTCAATTTGTAATCATTCTTTCTTTTTCTTTTTTTTTTTTTATTGATTTATCGTATATTTTTAGGATTAGCAACTGCAATTGAAATCTTGCAAGCTAAATGTCGAAGTAAAGACAGTATAATAGCCATTTTAGCAGAAGGATTACGTGGGGTTATCAATTGTGCTCAAATAGCCAAAAATTTGGCTGCTCCGTGTCTCGAATATTCTTATTGGGATTTTGATCGGTCTGCACTTTATGCTTATTTACGTAATACCATGAGCAAACTTTCTTTGGTACATACATCATAATACAACACGTATAATATAATAATTTTTGTTTATTAATTTGTAAATTTAAATAACAATTTGAATATCATGAACAATGAACTTTGAAATATACAGAGTGATTCATCAGCTCTTGTCAACTAAATAACTCCGAAAGTATGACAGTAGCAAAAAAAGTGGGTTAAGAAAAAGTAGCATGAAAAATTCATGATGATTAATGTGAAATCAATGAAGAGATTGTGAATCACCCTGTATATTGAATTAAATGATTTCATGTTTATTATTAATGTTTAATTATTTCTTAAAGGAAGAAAATAAAAATTCGACCTTAGCATCAAATCTTAAAACAGAAGACAGTGATAAAACTCTTGTTGATTGGAATCACAACGATACTGTACCACCTCCAATGGATTTCAAGATAGTACAAGAATTTAGCAGATGTCTTTTTCTTTCATGGAAGATACCCAATGATATTAGAAATGTCGATGGATATCGGATTTACGCTAATGGGTAATATTATTCTTTTCATTGTGACAAAAAGTGATCGAAACAATCGATACTTCTTCATTTTTCGCAGAAATCTAACGAATAACGTGAGATCTTCAAAAAGATCAAAAACCATTTTAGGACCTACGGACATGTCAAAAGCTATGGAACTAAAATTGCATAGTTTTAATAACAATGGTATATTATCCGATTCAGTAACTATAAATTATTCCCCAAAAGAACAATAATAACCATTGAAATAATCCCAAAATTTGACCTGAACATGTTTTTTAGTAATAACTCATTTTTGTTTTTGTTAATAAATAAAACAAGGGATGAAAAATGATCGTTTTGATTTCTTTTCAACAATTTTATTTTTAAAATGTAAATTATATATTATAAATTAACACGTTAACTGTGTGTATGTGTGTGTGTGTCATGTGAACGACGGGAAATATTCTGAACTGGCCCAATCGGCTGTATTTAGCTGACGCTTGTTTTTAGTTCTCTTACAAGGTATATTAGTAAATATTTCGAATGATATTTCACAAAATATGAGACTACTGAATTGTTATTAAAAATGATTTACAATGAAATTCTTTGAAACAGTCTAAACAAAGTTGGAGTTGTTCAGTTTTGCATACGTTTTGCATAAAACGTATTAATACGTGACCCGCCGACCGGCGCCAGTGTATGGAAAAGGTATTAATAGGTTAAATGCCACGTCAATTTTACCGGAATTGTCTGTGGCGCCACGATGTGGAATATATTTCTATTAATCTGAGCACGGCGGTCACCGGTGGCCCTCATGGCATTCAACCNCATGGCATTCAACCTGTTAATACCCGACCCGCCGATAGTGTGTTAATTTCTGGTAAGACGAGGAATATAAAATAATTTTCGACGATCTACGAGATCCTCCAAGGTGTTAAGATCAGGTAAAACAGCTGGTATTTCAAAGTGGATATCCGACCAAGATGGTTGCGTCGTATACCGAAAAGATTCGGAACCCTTGTTTAGGTGGTCATCCGTGTAATAAGCTTCTGTAGACGTAGGAGTCTTTGGATAATAGGGATCGTATTCTAATTCACTGGGTACTAAAGGTTTCAAAGACATAGTAAGAGCATGAACTGGAATTTCTGTGGTGGTTATCGTCGTTCTCAATGTAGTCGTGGTAGTTGACTTAGCATTAGCCTGGATCGATCTAAGAGTCTCAAAATAAGGGTAATCCCTATTATTGTAAGTGTTTGAGTTAGGTCTAGGATTATCATTTGTTGGAAGTTTCGTACTCGAAGTATAGACAGTAGTAGTTTGAAAAGAATTCTTTCTAGGTGGTTGAGTTTTCGTTGAAATCATTGGCACATTGACGAATGTTCGACCAAGTAAACCCTTCGTTTCTAAATCTGACCTCGTGAAACTCGAGAATCGATTAGAGAAAGAAGAGTCTTCTTTAGAATCACGTGAGAATGAACGAGGAGTCGAGGAAAATTGGAAGACATGGTTTTTCGAAGGTGAATCTGTCGTTTTGTGTTCTTCATTTCGATTACACCGAGATTTGTCTAAAATAGATCCAGTTTCTTGAGAATCCATTGATTTCCTATGAAGATCGTGATCTTGCCGATTTCTCAAGAAAACCCTGGCACTGAAAACAAATCCAGGTTGTGTCTTATCGGTCAACGATTGGTCAGGAGGTTGAATCACCTGGAAGGATCTAGAAAAGGAACGATGATCGTTGGAATTATCCAATGACGATGGTGGAACATTGAAACGTGAAGGTACGTTTAAGCCTAAGTTCTCTTTTTCACTTCTACTCCCACGAGGTGACTTTTTACCGTCATAGGAAGTAGCACAACAATCGACGAGTCTCGCGTGATCACAAATTAAGGCATCTTGTCGGAAGGCTGTTTCTTCCGGGCAACGATAGCTGAACTTGTTACCATGATCGTCACACGTATGATAAACCTTACAATCGGCTTCAATGTCTGCGTAGAATCCCATGACTCTACCGAAACAGGAAAAATTTGTTCTCAATGGTGGGGGTGTTGTATTCTGTAAAAAAAAAGCACATCATTATTTTTGTTGTTTGCATTCTAACTAAATATCACGGAACTTAGATAATTAGGAGAACGATCACAAGAAAAAAAAGAGAAACAGAGAGAGAGAGAGAGAGAAGTTACAAACGGTGTACCATATTCATTAATACGTTGGGGATACACTAATTTTTAAACTAAACCCAGATAATAAATAACCAACGTCTTTTCTACTTCAAAAACCTTTAATTAATATTTTTGAATCATCCCTACACGCCTGTTATGGCGAGAATGATTTTAAAACGGAACTTAGATAATTAGGAGAACGATCACTGTCTATAAAAGTATCCCCAAAATATAAAACAAATAAAGTTTTATTCCAGAGTGCGCTGCAGTCGCTTAGATCAATTAGCGCTCAACAATATTAAATGAAATCATTTGTGCATACCTAAAATTATAAACAGATTTATGTAATTATTGTTTATTCAATTATTTATTTAAAATTTGACGAACAAGCAGACTAATGAAGGGAGAATAATTCTAAATAATGTTATATATTTTATATTGGTTATAAAACTGTTTGTCGTTGATTTAACTCCGATTTTAATTTTCTTTCAGCTGAATAGCCACTAAAACAATTTTTTATAGCAAACTTTTTCACCATTTTCAACAATACTATTTTTATTTCTTGAAAAACGTAAAAATGTTGAACAAATTGAACATCAAAAATATTTAGCCACGAGTATGTTAACAAATACGTAATGCTCAACAGTTTTCTGTGACGTCATTAGGATCTAGGTGATCATCATGCCGCCCTAGTGGCAGAAATGAGTATTAGTAATTTGTTACTTTTTTAGGGGACACAATTTATGACAAATTGTTGATAATAATCAAATAAATCATAAATATTTTTCTTTTGGATAAATGAAACTCGTACATGAGAATTCTGTGAATACATCTATGGTATTCTCTACGAATGACCTTGCCTTTCTACCACGATCCTATACTATCATCTTTTTGCTAGCATTTCAAATACCACAGTGGGTTCTCTGCTATACCATATTTATCGCGTAATCACGTTGAGATCAACGTAACTCATTGTAAGTGCAACGTCGATACCATTACTGCACGGTAGTATTACTGTCTAATTACACCATAACTGTTAAAATTACCTACTGTAATTTCCAAAGAAGGATCAACTTGATAAACTGAGATGATATTTAGTTACACTCGAGTATATTCTAGTTTGTATTTTTGAAAAATATTATTCCTTTTTTTGTTTTCTAAAAATTTCATTAAATATTATCTTAAATCTTACAGGAGTATTTTACATAAAATTGACCATTTTTGACCTTCAACCCTTTTTCGATTTTGTTGAAACCTTTTTTATCATTTTTATATTTGATTAAACAAACTTTTTGTGAATTTTTTTCAGATTTTTTTGGCCAACCCGAAAAAAAGGGATGATTTTCTCAAAAATTCAAAATTTTCGTTCTATTGTTTTTTGAAATTGTTATAACTTTGTCAAAAATAGATTTATCGGGAGATTTTTTTTTAATTTTTTGTTTTTAAATGTACTTTTTGTAAAAAAAATATAAAAAAATATTTGAAGTTGAATTCTATAAGAAATTTCGATTCGTTTTGGAAAATAACCTTAAATTTTTCAAATTTTGGTATTTTTAATTTATTTTTTGAACTTTCGTTCATTCCTAACCTAAATCATACCTTTCCCAGATGGGCCGAATTTTTTTTTTATATTTTTTGTTTAATTTTAAAATTTTTTGTTTTTAAATGTACTTTTTGTAAAAAAAATACAAAAAAATATTTGAAGTTGAATTCTATAAGAAATTTCGATTAGTTTTGGAAAATAACCTTAAATTTTTCAAATTTTAGTATTTTAAATTTATTTTTTGAACTTTCGTTCATTCCTAACCTAAATCATACCTTTCCCAGATGGGCCAAATTTTTTTTTTATATTTTTTGTTTAATTTTAAAATTTTTGGTTTTTAAATGTACTTTTTGTAAGAAAATATAAAAAAATATTTGTAGTTGAAATCTATATGAAATTTCGTTTTTTTTTTTGGAAAATAACTTCAAATTTTTCAAATTTTTGTATTTTTAATTTTTTTCCTTTTTCTTTCCTTTTAAACTTTCATTTATTCCTAACCTAAATTAAACCTTCTCCAGATGTGCTGAATTTTTTTTTCTAATCCTCTTTATGCAATAATTATTATTATATTATTTATATATATAAAATAATTATATAAAAAAAATTATATAAAAAAAAATATTATATATATATATATATATATATATATATATATATATATATATATATATATATATATATATATATCTATTAAAGATTATAATTTTCGAATTTAATTCCATAAATACTGTTTTAAATATGATTGCACATAAATTTAAAAAATTATCATAGCACAGTGTGTGCATTAGTTTTTTAAATTATCATTCATTATTTTATTTATAACTGTTTTTTTTATTGTTAATTTGAAATGAAAAAATATTCATTTGAAATGAAAAATTGTTATTTTGACCTGAAAAATCTATATATGAATAAAAATCTTCAAATAATTCAGTACTCATGGGGTTAAATACATTGAAAAACATTTATATTTATTCAATTAGATTTATTTTAATATAAAAACAAAATTATAAATGCCAAAATAATAAAACGAAAAATTTTTAAATTAAAAAAGAAATAGAAAAATACCAAAATTTGAAAAATTTCAAAAAAGAAACGAAATTTCTTATAGAATCTAACTTCAAATATTGTTTTAATGTTTGTTTTTTTTTTTAAGTACATTTAAAAACAAAAAATAGAAAGAAAAAAACGTTCTGATGTCTATTTTTGACAAAGTTATAGCTATTTGATCAAAAAATTGAACAAAAATTATGAATTTTTCAAAAATTCATAATTATATTTGAATTTGTCAAAAAAATCTGAATAAAACTCTCAAAAAATTCGTTTAATGAAGTTAAAAATGATAAAAAAAAGTTTCAACAAAATCCAAAAAAAAGTCATGGGTCAAAAGTAGTTGATTTGACTTGAGATTCCCTAAATATATATGTATAATATATTACAATAATAATAATAAATTAACTCATGTTACAATCCCATATGATAATTCTCGATCAATTTAATAAAAACAATTAATTCTACTACAAACTTAATAATTTTCTAATTAAACCAACGGTAATCTTAAAATACTTACAAACACTTCTTCAGGACGTACAATGACGATGAATATGGTACTGTATAAAACAATTCCGAGAATCCACGATTCTATCCGACGTTCCATTCCGAAAAACACAATTGTGACAAGATTTTTGTCAAGTGTTATTTAATAATATGAATAAAATTGCCGGTTAAACGTATAGACTATCTACTATACGACAATACAACGAGTTCAAGTGAAAGTGACGAGGATGAACTTAGAATGTTCACTCAAATTTCTGTCGTTTACACCTACTATGTTATTCTATCTTTCTTTATTTCGTTTACGAGTTCACGTATAACATATAAGGTTGTTTTCCATTGTTCTCATTAAACCAGGAAGATCCTGATCCGTCTTCGAAGGAAGAGACAAGACTGGAACACGAGCGTTTTGCGTGAAAGGAACAACCGGTAAATGCCATTGCACATTACAGTCTCTCTCCTTCTACCTCTGTCTCTCTCTCTCTCTCTCTTTCTCACTCATTCTTTCTTTCTTTATTCATCTCGAAGAAGAACATTTCAGGTCGGTTCATTGTTTATTCAAGCAAGCGATAACTTCGCAAGTTGTTTGGCGAGAAAAGGTAGATATGATCAGGTAATTGAATCTGACTAGGTAATAAGATGAAATTTCTGTCTTACACAAGACAACAATAATAGAGTCTCTTGTACTATTATTTATTATTACTTTTCAACCAGATCATGTATGAAATAATCAAAGAGGTGAAAACAACTGGAGAAGGAGGAGTAAAGTTAGGAAAGGAAAATATTAAAGTAATATGTTACGCCAATGATGCAGTCAACATATTGGAAGATGAAAATGATTGCAAAGGATGTTCTTTCTTTGTTCTCCACTTACCCATATGCACTTATAATAATCTTAGTTAGTACCCTGACCACCAGTGGGCAATAGTAGATACTTAACGAGATTATGGTACAATGCTATCAAAGAATACAGTATATGAAGTATATTTTGTTAATTTTAGGTAATTATATTAGGTTGGGGAAAAAGTTATCCATTATTTTTACGTTAACTTCAAGCCTTTATTTAACATATAAGTCTGTCTGATTTTGATCAAATATGCACCGTTTTGTTCGTTAATTTATTGCCGTTTTAAAGATAGCTTCACAATACCTGTCTCATAAAAGTCTTGGTTCCCATTTGCGATAAACTCTAGTGATCGATTTTTACAATCTTCTTTTAATGTCAATTTCTTATCAATAAGAAAGTTTTACAGTGCAACAAAAAGATGGTAATCGCTTGGTGTAAGGTCTGGTCTATATGATGGATACATTAAAACTTCCTAACCAACCTCCTGGAGCTTGTGGGAAGTCACTATAGACATGTGTGACCTGGCGTTGTTCTGATGGAACACAACACTTCTCCTGTTGGCCTATTCTAGCCGGTTCTGGTCAATCCCTAGCTTCAAACGGTCCAGTTGTTGACAGTAGAGATCCGAATTTAGTGTTTGGCCATATTTAAACAACTCATAATAAATGATTCCTTTTCAGTCCCACCAAATGCACAGTAGAACCTTCCTGGCCGTTAGTCCTGGTTTGGCCACCGTTTGAGTAGCTTCATCGAGCTTTGACCACGATCATTTTCGCACAATATTGTCGTATGTGACCCATTTCTCATCCCCAGTCACCATCCGTTTAAGAAATGGGTCGATTTCATTCCGTTTGGCCAAGGTTTCGCAGATGGAAATTCGATGTATCATGTTTTTTGATGTTAATTGGTGTGGCACCCAAACATCGAGCTTCTTTTTGAATCCAGCATTGCGCAAATGGTTGATCTTTAGCTCGAACATTTCATTAATAAACTCAGCCCGAATCATAAATGGCGGATATTTCACAAGTATCGTTTAACGTGATCCCAAGTCAAATTAATAGTGGAACCACTACTAGTTTTTTGGATCAGTATTGTGGGACGAGCGCCTCCATGCCAAACTTATCAGGCATTCGTGAGAAGGATTGGTCGGTGGGCCCTGGATAGCTCAATTGGTTAAAAAGCAGTCGCCCGGAAAGCGAAAGATCTGTGGTTCGAGTCCCCGGTCCAGTCAGTCCAGCGGTCCAATTTTTTTCACGAATCCCATACTATTGCTTAGTTCTGTTTCCAATATTGAATTATTAACATGTTTTATTCTATCATCTTTGCTAAACCAACTCGACTTAGAGAATAGTCGAGTATAGCCGAATATAGTAGAGTATTGTCGAGTATAGTCGA